CTAGGATGAAATTTTTTTCTCCAAACAAAAATTGCACCACTCTAATGTACATACACAAATTATTGAAAATATTCCTACTAGCAATTCTAATTATTAATAGCGGTATTCTGTATTGTAGACTACTGTCCACCATGCCAGTTTGCGAGGACTTTCAAAATACTAGGTGTTAAGGGCATGTTTTCTTCGAACTCAACTCTAATTTTTCATTGTTTATACTTTTTAGTTAGGTTTTACGTATTATTCTTTAAAAAATATTCTAAATCAAATATGCTCACTTCACAATTTCCGTCAATGTCGGCCCATCACCTTGTGCAAACACTAAAGTTCAAATCGAGTTCATCTGTATGTATGTATGTATGTAGAGTTATAGGTACATATTTGATTTGAAGTTGCAATTTCAATATTTGTTTCATGTTCCTGACTTCACGGTGGTACAGTGTTGCAGTGGTGCGGTGTTGCGTTGTCGGCATGAATAATAAATACATACACAAGACAACACGTAATTGAGTAAATAATTGCGTAAGGCTACACTTACGAATGAGTACGGCCTTTCTTTCTGCCACCATATTGCCGTCGGTGTTTTATTGTTTTTGTGTGCGTTAACAACGCTAGCGGGTGCATTCCCAGAAAAGGTGTGTGAGTCTCAAGCAAATAAGTATAAAGGATATGTTTACCTGAAACGATATAAGATAAGAAAATATCAGAGGTAAATATTTTGACTACTTAATGTAGAGTTTGATAAATGCATAGTTTTGGTGTAAATACAGTTTTTTGTTTTTGTTTTCGTTTTAGTAAGGAAGCTTAAGAATTCAGAAAATGCAGTTAAATATCAATTGTGTTTGAGACCATATTATTTGTACATATGTAGATATGTATACGCAAAAAAAAAGCCTTCCCATATTGGGCGGAGGGTCACGCACAATAGATCACTTTAGAGATCGCGGTGCATATTGCATAAAATAATAATAATTATTATAATTTCCAGCTTCTACATTGGTCAAGTTCTTTGAGGAATGCTGATGGTTTCCTTTCTCTTGCTCATCTCTATTGGTCACAGAGTAGACGACACTACGGAAGTACTACGATTTATTCATGCACCTTAGATTCTGTTCTAACAGACTCCTATTTGTATAGAGCTATTCCTTGATCCACGTATCGCTAAGCATCCGTGCGAGTCACCTTTACGAAATACTATTTAAGTCACGTGCTGCTAGTTACGGTGACCCTAGGAAAAGTAGTCTGTGCTTCACAGTCGCGCATAATGTGACCTGCCGCTTTTCGCTCGCCGTTACACAGCCTGCACTGGCCAGAGTAAATAACTTTGTCGTTTGACAAGCACTTCATTACCTTATTAGATTTTCCTCTTACCCGAGTTTCCTGCCCAGGTGGGCCTCGGTTCTCTTGTTAATATTTCCGGGTGGAAGGATTTAGCCTTTTTGTTTTGCCACCCTTTTGGTTTTGTAACGTTGCATCACATTCTTCGTGCAGTCGTTATATTTTCACCCAAGTTCCGTGGTACACCCATGAAGGCCAAGAGCCTATGAATCCCTGTCCAGCTTCATTTCTGGCGAGAATATCTGACTTCATTGCCCGTAAGAGAACTGTGTGCGGGTACACAAATGAGGCCAACTCGGTTCCAAGAAGCGAAGATTATTAAAAGATGAGGGCGTGCTTTTAGTTCTCGCCCTGCTGTCGGATGCATATAAATGTATTTGTTGGTCACCTTCTTTCTGTATACTGGAAAAATAGCGACCTTAACCCTTCCCCGACGCCAAGGTCAGTTTTTCCTTTAACCAACCCTTAGTAAACCAACGTTCACTATTGCAGATGGTTAAATCAGGACAAATGACCTTGAAGTCTCCGAAGTCACATTTTAGTACCAAAAAAGGGTTAAGAGTTTTGATTGCAGCCTTACCATCTATAAACCGTCAGATTGGCTCATCGCGCTTATAAGCTTTTTCACATGCATTTTTGGGCACCCATGAATACTATGGAAGGACCAAAGGTAGTGTGAAGGTGTTTAGAATCGACTCAAATCGACAAGCGGTTATAGTTCCTTAAAGGAAAAAAA